GGGGGGGAGTGTCCAGAATAAGGGCTTAGTGCTCAGTAGCCAATGGGCCCAATAGCATTTTCTGCCTCTTCTATTTCTGTAGCCCTACCACCTTGCCCAGCTGAGCAGTAGATGTAGCAGACCCTCTTGGTGTACCAGTCCTGCTGCTTCTCTGCAGAATATCTATAGCTCTTGTTTTCTTGTTACACATAAAGGAGAAGAGCCATTGGCAATCAGAATTCATTTCCCACTTATCCCACCGACCTGGCCTGTCTGGCTGCTATGGGTGATGCACTTATTTGGGCTGTGCATCTTGCTCGTATTTGGAGGCCTGTGTCTATTGTCCTCACTCACCTCCTGACTCCACTCGTAGAGTGGATCGCGGGAAGACGTGGCGGCACACTTCACCTCCACCGTAGAACCCTCCTCAGCATACAAGATGTCAGACACACTGGTGTACCAGGAGTGCACCTTCTGGAAGTAGATGTCCTGCAGATCTACAGGGAAGAAACAAAAACATAAAATGTAAGACAAGATGCGAAAGTACCAACCGCCAGGGTGACAGATAACAACACAATGGCAAAGAAGCCCCATTGCAAGGGTTAATTTTGCCTGGAGTTCTTCAATGTTGGTCAAAAGGAACTTGGAAGGGTAAGAACCTCTGCTGGATTTATTTGCTGAGTCACCATTGGGAAGATTTTCCCTACCTTCCTGTTCTCTGTATCACCATTAGGAAGATTTCCCCTCACTTCCTGCCCTTTGTGTTACCATTAGGAAGATTTACCCTCACTTCCTGTCCTCTGTATCACCACTGTGAAGATTTCCCCTACCTTCCTGTTCTCTGTGTTACCATAGTGAGATTTCCCCTCACCTCCTGTCCTCTGTATCACTATTAGGAAGGTTTCCCCTCACTTCCTGTCCCCTGTGTTACCATAGGGAAATTTCCCCTCCTGTCCTCAGTCAAGACCTCCCCGAGACAGGGGTAATCTCTCTCATGGTGCTACAATTAGTAGTCCATTGGTTGGCCCACAATTTTGTCCTCCTACTGACAGTAGATTGTGAGCTCTTTGGTGCGACAGACGCCGATGCCAACAGTCCATCATTCTCTGCAACCGGCTGCAGAAAAAAGTGTCAGCGTCCTATAAATGAGTGAAATGAATCATAACAACCCGTCACAATGTTTTCCTGATGCCCAAAGGGGGAAGAAAAAACACTTGTCATCTCTCATCGCCTTGGAGTTGATGAGTTGCTAGGGGCAACACACATTTCTTCCAGCCAGACGCTCTGACAGACGAGGTTTTATAGCAGAAAATAACAACAGAATCCGCTCAGCTAATTGCTTTTTTTTCTTCATTCTGCGTTCGATCGGCTCATCATCCTGTCACTCTGAGACTGATCCCTCCCGGGCGAGCATGTTTCTGGAGACGCGATCAGAGCATGGGCCCCACGCAGACGCTCATTATACACGCGGCTCCATTTCAATATTTGATGTATTTCCTGTGGCTCTTTGTGGGGCTTAGTGACATTTTGCGATAACCCCGTGATATTTCTCCCTGTCTCCTGCTGCTTTCATACGGTGTATTGTTGTGTTCGTCACGTTCCTGGGCCTCCCTCTGCCCTTTAGATGAAAGATGCGGCCTGTGATGTACGGCCCGGCGAGGTGTTCTGAGGCCGCCACGTTCCCACTAAGCGCCTTGGCTGCCAGATACGCTACAAGGATACTATACCCCCCTCTGATGGAGGTCGCTGGGGTCCATTGTTTATCTGTGCCATCGCTGCAGATAAACCGCTCCTGGCATTATAGAGAACAGCGACCCCCCCCCCCCCCCCCCCTCTTCTCCCAAA